TTGATGAATCATAACCTGCCGGGATGATAATCTTCAGGCCGGTCATATTAAGCGCTCTTACCAACCTAACCCGGGAAACAATTTACCTATACCCTTTTTGCTACCTGTTTTCCCAGCATTCACATTTCAGTTGAATTTCTTGAAAGAGGATTAACAAAAGGCTCATAAAATCATAAATTATATTTGTGGGTCGAGTACAAATCGCTCGTTTCTTTCGCTAGTGTAGCCGAGCAGTGGACAGGGTAGCAAATTCGCTAGAACTTGGGCTCTAGTTGAAAACCAAAGCTGTGCCTCTCTGGAGGTACTTTCACAATACGAACACGTTTCGAATTCCTACAGTGCTGTCCGCGAGTGGTGAGCTTTGCCATGGCCAAATTTGGATGGTCAAAAGACCAAACTGCAGAACTAATTGCACGATATGGAAAAAAAGGACTATAGAAATCGCGTAGCATACACTAAAATTATTTTCAACTATACAGAGTGTTCTGTTTTTGAGGCGTAATATGCAACGTACTTTTTTAAATAGAATGCCTAATTCTAATTTTCTAAAAAATTTTTGTAATGAAGCGGTTCACAAAAAAATCGCAATCGTATTGATTTTAAGATCTGTGTTATAATATTTTATGGGGAGGTAAACAAAAGTACGTGCTTTGCTGTGGTATCAATTAAATTAAATTCTAATATGCCGAGTGTTTATAAAAAAAAACTAAAATATTACAATTTTCACACATCGTTATTTCCGTCAGCCGATTCTCTACTTTTACGTTTTCTCGACCTTTCATGACCCCTAGAGTACGAAGAAATGCCTCCAGTTTCCGTCTGTCGGTCTGTCCGTCTGTCTGCCGTCCCGATTTTTATTAAACAAATAATCTCCAAAAGTACTGGGCCGATTCCAGATTTTTGGAGAAAAAAATATAAAACAACATTTCACAATTTAATTTTGATTCTTACAGCTGTTTTAAAGTTATGATAAATTTTTAATCAAAATATATTTGCTTATCCCCTCCAAAAAATTGATAACGTCAGTACAAAATTTTGCCGAATAAATTCCACCCGAAATGTGCAAAATATATATGATCAGTCTAATACTTGTAATTTATTATTGTGTTCATATTTTTTAGATTTGCTTATACAGGGTGATTAAAAAAAAAATTAATGCGTGAATTGATTTTACTGAATAACACAAGAATTGCAAAACTGAATCCTTTGAAATCTTCCAGACGTTTTAAGATTATTGTAAGCGTGGTAAATTATTAATCATCTCAAAATTTTTCAGAATAAATTCTACGTGTGCAAAATATGTTGAGTTTTTAATTGTGATTTATCACTGCATTCATATTCATATTCATCTACTGTTATTTTTAGTATTATACTGCACCAATCCAAGTTGATATACGTGTCCTTGCAAAAATGTTGATGACGTCATCACAAAATTGTGTAAAAAAAAAACTCAACTCGAAAATGTTAGATATATTTCATTGTTCTTTCGGTGTGAGGGAAGTTCTGTCGAAACAACTTTCGACCAATTTTTTACATTTTTAAGAGATATGTGGAAAGAAGATTTTACATAATATTAAATAAGAGTAATAATGGCAATGTTGATTTAATCAAAATCAACTCTACATTAAAATTATATGACATTATAATAGAGGGTGGGATCATATGAATGTGACAATCTGTGACACAGAAAAGAAGGGTCCAAAAACCCCAAAAGTGCGTGACATAACTTATGGAGAACACCTTATTTTGTTCAATGATTTACATAACACTTTTACATATGTACCTGATACAAAAAAATCGTAATGTTACTATTACTCTTTCATGAATAGAAATAGCATCGTGCATTTGCGTATTTCTTAGCACAATTTTAGGTCCACATAATAATTTATGTCCTCTTACTACCTGTTTTCACAGCTGCAATATTTTACCGCATTTCTTGAAAAATATATTAACAAAAGGCTCGTAAAATCATAAATTTTTTGTAGGTTCGAGTAAAGAGGGTTCATTTTCCTCGCAAGTGCAACTGTGTAGTGGACAGGGTTTTGAGAGCTTTGTTTGATCGACATATATCGGCGAGCAAAATTTGCCAAAATATCCTCTCAAATCGACAAGCCCTTGAAAGTAACTCTCGCGAATTCTCGCCAAGTCACTCTCCAGTGGACACGGTGGACACGTACCTTTAAGGTACGTGTCCACTTGCGAGAAATCGCCTCAAAATCAGCCCTGGAGAGCTCCGAGTCGAATCGAGTAAAGACGAAACACTGATCGGCTGATCTCGCCGCGAGCGATATTCTCTCCAGTGGACAAGCCAAACTGCGTTTACTTGCGAGAGATACTCTCAGTGCGAAGAAGTTTCGAATTGGGGAAGTATTCCCCGAGAATAAGCAGTTCATCATAAATTATTTCTCGAGTAAAGCCGACTTGTTTTACACGTTAATGATTCTATGCAAATGGTCGTGAAAAGGACTACGCAATTCGGCCAAATCTGATCGTTTACCTGACTTCAATGCAGCGTTTTGAGATTGGTGACACATTTTAATGAAATTATTAAACACTAAAAAAATGTAAAATGAAAATAAATGACTAAATTATGTTCATTTATCGTAAATCTGAAGCAAGTAATGTGAAAAGTAGACTAGATTAACTTTTTTAATTTATAATTAAACATCAGAGTTTGTATAAGTGATTCTGATTATACTTCATTATTATTATTTTTTTGTTGCAGTACGAGATTAAACTATGCACAACGAAGTAAATTTATTTTTTATTATTCTAATAACGTTTTTAAATAAATTTTTAATCATGAATTACATATTAGGTACTACAAATGTATTGTTGGCATGCGTATTCAAAAATTAATATTTATATTTATTTTCAGTGTTTATCCACAAGTGCTTTTATAAATTGATACCTGCCTCACCTGAAAGTATAATTATTAGGGACAATAATTTTATAGATGTTTTTAACACTACAATATTGCATGTAATTGTCCTTTGATGAATCATAACCTGCCGGGGTGATAATCTTCAGGTATATCTGTTTATTCCCAACAAAAACTTGATGACGTCATCTCAAAATTTTTCAGAATAAATTCTACGTGTGCAAAATATGTTGAGTTTTTAATTGTGATTTATCACTGCATTCATATTCATATTCATCTACTGTTATTTTTAGTATTATACTGCACCAATCCAAGTTGATATACGTGCCCTTGCAAAAATGTTGATGACGTCATCACAAAATTGTGTAAAGAAAAAACTCAACTGGAAAATGTTAGATATATTTCATTGTTCTTTCGGTGTGAGGGAAGTTCTGTCGAAACAACTTTCGACCAATTTGTTACATTTTTAAGAGATATGTGGAAAGAAGATTTTACATAATATTAAATAAGAGTAATAATGGCAATGTTGATTTAATCAAAATCAACTCTACATTAAAATTATATGACATTATAATAGAGGGTGGGATCATATGAATGTGACAACCTGTGACACAGAAAAGAAGGGTCCAAAAACCCCAAAATGTGCGTGACATAACTTATGGAGAACACCTTATTTTGTTCAATGATTTACATAATACTTTTGCATATGTACCTGATACAAAAAAATCGTAATGTTACTATTACTCTTTCATGAATAGAAATAGCATCGTGCATTTGCGTATTTCTTAGCACAATTTTAGGTCCACATAATAATTTATGTCCTCTTACTACCTGTTTTCACAGCTGCAATATTTTACCGCATTTCTTGAAAAATAAATTAACAAAAGGCTCGTAAAATCATAAATTCTTTGTCGGTTCGAGTAAAGAGGGTTCATTTTCCTCGCAAGTGCAACTGTCTAGGGGTTTTGAGAGCTTTGTCCTCTCAAATCGACAAGCCCTTGAAAGTAACTCTCGCGAATTCTCGCCAAGTCACTCTCCAGTGGACACGTACCTTTTACACCGATAACACAGTTTACGGAGTCGTGTTTAATGTTAATGTAACAACAGAGGGGGAAACTTAAATAAATTGACTGATTCATTGTTTTTTTTTTAACTCACCCTGTATAAGCAGATAAAAAAAATATGAAAGCAATAATAAATTACAACTATAATCTGATCATATTTTGCACATTTTCGAAAGGATTTATTCGGCAAAATTTTGAGGTGACCTGATCAATTTTTTAAGGGGGATAAGCAAATACATATAAATTAAACATGATTAAAAATTTATCATGGTTATCATAAAATATCTACAAGTTTCAAAGCATTCGGTTTTGCACATTCAAAATTAAATTGCAAAATGTTGCTTTATAATTTTGATTTTTTTTTCCAAAAATCTGAACGTTTCTGGTAAAAACTCATCACGGAGTCATGAACTATATATGTAGGACTACGTTATTTTACAATTTCAAACCCATTTCCTGTGTGCAATTTTGAAGGGACGTCATCATATTTTTGGTGGGGATGGTTAGACAAATTTTGGTTAGAGTTACATGATATTCCTAATGTAAGTACAAAATTTAACAAGTATCGACCCAGTACTTTCGGAGATTATCTGTCTAATAAAAATCGCGACAGCAGACAGACGGACAGACGGACAGACATACGGACGGACGGACAGACAGACGGACAGACAGACAGACGGACAGACAGACGGACAGACAGACGCACAGACAGACGGACAGACACACGGACAGACAGACAGGCGGAAATGTGAGACCTATTCCTTTGTAGTCTAGGGACTCTAGGGGTCATGAAAGGTCGATAAAACGTAAAAGTAGAGAGGTCCCCGACGGACTCGAATACAATACCTCCTTCGCTTACGCTCGGGAAGTAAAAACAACTGCAAAATAAGTTAGACTTCCTTTAAAAATACGGCGCTGCTGAATTAAAACTTAAGCGTGCAGCGACTTGTCTCCACCCACTGAGTAATCCCCGCGCAGTAATAAGGACAGATAGAGATAATGAATATACGACCATGACTTTTTGTAACAGTTGTTTAGTATATAAAGGAGTTGTAACATTGTGGTTGTTTATTCGTTAGTATCAACACTTCAGGAAAACATATTCAGTTTCTTAAGTGGACAACCAACTTGCTAAAAAATGGCCAAGAAAATCTACAAATTAATAATGTACAGTGCTGCTGTGACTTCTTGTCTTATTGCCTGCTATCCATGGCTTCTTGGTGAGTATGAAAAAATAGAAGTTTCATCGGAAATCTTTTATGGAAAATTTTAGTTACTGGTTCGAGGATGTAAATTTTCGAAGAAATGGTTATCTCGGATTTCGACCGGCAAATATACCTACTTACTTAACTATGTACTATATCAATAAGCACCTTGCACTTTACACTGCATAATAATAAAAACATATTAAAAATTCATACTTCTTTAATTCATAGTTAACAACGAATTAAGTATATTACGATAAAAATTCGTCCAAGGTTATTTCGCCAGACATTCCTTCGCGCCCCTGAAGTACAACTAAGATCCTCTATTTTGCAAAACTTACTAAAATATCGAGCACTATATTGGGACTCGTTCACTAGTAAAGCAGCGAAGAACTGTTTGTTTACTTACTTTACTTACTGAGCATAAACTAAGGAATTGTTGTAGTAGGGTTCATCCGACGAATATGTACTTTCATGTTTTCTCGACTTCTTCTTTTCTTTTTCTTTTTTGAACTGGGCGCTGTAAGAAGTTTTGTCTGTGATAAATTGTCTGCAAACGTGTTTGTTTTAACCCATTCGTTGTATATTTTAATGTGTTTGGCAAGTATATTTCTTCCCTATTAGACGGATTTAAGGGTCTGCAGGTTAAATTTTCTTTTGTTGTGGTTCAAAACAGTTCGTTTCCTTTTGATCTTCTGAAGAAATATTTCTTCAGTTTGGGAACTTGCTTGTATACATTTTCTAGGTTCTCAAAACTTTTTCCTCCATTATTTCTTGGTAACGAGATTCTCTCGGTTAAGGATATCTTCTGATTGTGTGAATATTTCTGATTTAAACTTTCTAAATCAGTTTTTGACCACCTATTTCCAAAAGAAAGATTAGATTACCATGTGATTAACTCACTCAAACAACCGTTCCGGCAAAATGACGTAAGAGCACAAAATTTTAAGTTACGCGAAAAATTCAAAATTTGGCCTCGAATTGTGATCGCCAACAAAATGTAAGCCTACGTTGTGTTTATTTTTTTGGTTGGCGGCGTACGTACAAGTGCAAAGGGATCAACCCCAAAGTGGGAAATGCTGCCGTAAATCAAAATGCAAAATATGGAAGGCAAACTGTTCCTCCATTCTGAAGAGGGAAAGTCTGGAAACTAGCTGCAAACACTCTCTCCAGCTTTGAAAAATGAAATCAAATCTTACAGGTTGACGGAACTCTTTGAATAACACAATTTTGAATAAACGGAGATAAAATAAATCTTTATTACAGTAACTGGATGCTCATACTAAATTATTAGTTATTTATTACGATGGTGTGGTGGTAAATTTAAATTACGGCAGTAGAGAAATCTGCAAAAAATTGCATTTAATAAGTTTAGCAAGTTAACAGTAATTTGTAGTTGTCGAAAAACGGGACAATCAAAATAATTATTGTATTTCACACCTTCCTTCCGTAATCACTCATAGGCAGCCATGTATACGCAGCTGCGAGCCCGCTAATTTAAAGTAACTATAAAAATTACGCCGTTACCCATCATCCCATCTATGCAAAGACGCGCTCATTATGCTTCGTTGCGCGAGCCCGCAAGCACGGTTTGTATAACCTCACTTTTTACTTCTTGCTACAGGTAAGTGTTTAGCCCATTTTTTCTAGTCAAATGGGTAAAACTAAGCATCGTCGACGTTCGCGTTCCCCTCACGTACCCAGACGTGAGTTGGAACGTCGCCTAGCACGCCTTGAAACGCTCCTAACCTCAAAGCGCCATGTGGCATAACCTGTTCGTCCATCTAATAGTCGACATATACCGTGTGTTGAACGTTCTCCCGATCGCGATCGGGAGAGCCGAGGACCATAGCCCTTCCAAGTGCGTGCTCATCGTCGAGGTCTCGCGCCTCTGACGTCTTATATCGTGACAGGGTCACAACGTCCCGGGACAGGGTCCCAGCTTACCGAATTGTTCAAGGCACCTCTTCCATGGGGAATCAAAGTTCCCGCAGTCTCACCCCGGACACCAAACCGGCGCCTGATAAACCACTAGACTCTCCTCCTTTACTCATTCACGACGAGGAATTACCCGAAGAATCCCTCCTCAAGCTCGGAGTAGAGCCCACAAATACTGTCGCTAATGAGCCAGTTATTCCACAGTGCCTGCTGACCGCCTGGACGGAGGTTCTCGCCAAAGGTTTAAAAAAGGACGAACGTACCAAGCTGCTTGAGAAGTACCCCCCGCCCAAAGACCAAGACGCCTTCACCAGTCCAGAGTTGAATGATGAAATATCGTCTATTTTGAATTACACTGGTAAAGCTCGTGCTTTCCATTTAAAAACCAAACAAGACAGCTTGCTGTCCAGTCTTACCGCCCACTCCGAACTTTTAAAAGCTCTATGGAAGTGCATCGGTCTCTCCAGTGAGAATAGGGCTTCACTTGGGATTTTAGTAATTGACTCGGCCAAACTCGTCATGGACGTATTTCGCACCTTAAGCTTTACGAGACGAGACCTTATCCTCCCACATTTATCTGCTACTGTAAGGGACGTCGTCAGTCAAATTCCCCTAGGGCGATATTTGTTTGGCGCAGACGTCTCTGAGGAATTTAAGAAGAGGAAGAGTTTGGAATCCCTTGGCAGGGAAATGCGAGCGACTAAAAGAGCCGTTCCGTATCCGGCAGCACTATACGCCTAGCTTCAGGTCCTGCCTCACGACCTCACGAGTCTTTCTGTCAACGCAGGCCTCAACCAGTTTTCCAAAAAACCGGAGTGACCCGTCTCACCAAAGAAGGGGGGGGGAGGAGACAAACGGGCAGCACCTCAAGGGCAACAACCTACCGATATCGCCGCCCTTAAGTCAGGTGAATAAACGACCAGCCGGTAGGCTGAAATATTTTGTACCAGCTTGGCGACAGATAACCAGTGATCCAGTTATCCTTAACTGGCTCAGAGGCTATCCCTTACCTTTTAGTAGACCTCCGGTTCAACGGCAGGTCCCTGTCGCAAAGCCGTTTTCACCACAATGCAGTCCGAAGTCAAATCCCTACTTCAACAGGGTGCAATTGTTCAATGTGAACCTTGTGTAGACCAGTTTATTTCTCGCGTTTTTTTTTGGTCAGTAAACCGAACGGTAAAAACAGGTTCATTTTAAACCTAAGGCCTGAATTTTTTCATTGATACTCCCCATTTCAAAATGGAAGACATTCGTTCAGCAATTAGACTCATACAACGGCACTGCTATATGGCGACAGTGGACCTCCGTGACGCATATTTTGCTCTACCCATTCAACCTTCGGATAGAAAATATTTGCGTTTCTTTTTAAACGATACATGCTACGAGTTTACTTGTCTTCCCTTTGGCCTCAGTTCTGCTCCGGCAACTTTTACCAAGTTGATAAAACCGATAGCGGCTTATCTTATATCACAAAATATTACGTGCGTTTTATACCTTGACGATTTCTTGCTTTTTGCCAGCACCATCGACGAATGCCGCGCGAGTGTTAACCTCACAGTGCATTTGCTTGAGTCTTTGGGTTTTACGATTAATACTGAAAAAAGCATCTTGGAACCCTCACAGAGTTGCCGATTTTTGGAATTTATTCTCGACAGCGCGCACATGCATCTAAGACTCCCGCCGGACAAAACTAATTACATTTTACATTTAATAGCCACCCTGGAGAATAGGACAAGTTGCAGCATTAAAAAGTTTGCAGAACTTATTGGTACGTTAATTTCAATCTGCCCCGCACTAAAATACGGCTTCCTTTATACGAAACTGTTTGAAAGGGAGAAATATTTGGCCTTAACCAATTCAGGTGGAAATTTCAAAGCCAGGATGGGGTTAACTCCAGAAATCAAACAAGATTTACATTGGTGGAAGCGTCATCTAGTTTCAGACATCGGCAATGAAATTGGGTCTGACCACTTTACAATGGAAATATTTTCTGACGCCTCGCTTTCTGGATGGGAAATTTACTGTCAGGGACATACGGCTCGTGGGTTGTGGAACCCAGAGGAGCAAAGAGAACACATTAATTACCTCGAGCTGAAAGCAGTCCTTTACGGTCTTAAATGTTTTGCAAAGCACCTCCTCCATTCTAAGGTTTTACTGAGGATTGACAATACGACAGCAATATCGTATATTAATCGCATGGGTAGCGTTCAGTATCCACATCTTTCCACTTTGACACGACAAATATGGCAGTGGTGTGAAGCACGGAATATTTGGCTTGTCGCTTCATATATTAATTCCACAGCTAACATAGAAGCTGACAGGGAATCAAGGGCACATTCCGATGCTACAGAGTGGGAACTATCAGACCGCTACTTCAATCAAATCTTGGCAAAATTTGGTAAACCGTCCGTAGACCTGTTCGCATCAAAAAATAACCATAAATGTGCGCGATATGTATCCTGGTTTCCCGACCCGAGTTCGATCGCTGTCGATGCTTTTACGTTCTCGTGGAAGGATTCTTTTTTTTTATGCCTTTCCACCTTTTTCCTTAATCTTACGATGCCTTAAGAAAGTTATCGCAGACAAGGCCGAGGGTATACTAGTAGTTCCAGACTGGCCAAGTCAGCCCTGGTATCCTCTCTTTAACAAACTCTTAACGACAACTCCGTTGAAATTAGGGCCAGATATCAACTTATTGTCCTCTCCTTTCAGAGCTACGCACCCACTATCAGCAACCCTCGCTTTGATGGCGGGAAGTTTGTCCGGGAAGCTTTCCTACGGAGGGGAATCCCAGAGGCGGTAATTGTAACAATACTCCAGTCCATTAGCCGCTCTACTCTACGACAGTACTGCTCCACATATAAAAGGTGGAATACATATTGTGTTGAGCAGCAGGATCCCTTTTCTCCTACTTCCGCGGAAATTTTAGGATTTCTTCAACACTTAATAGACTACTTGAAAAACTCGTCCTCTAACGCGGTGCTTTCGTTAGAACAATTTTCGTCAAAATTAGCAACCTTATTGGCTCTCGTAACTGCCCATAGAGTCCAAACACTATCATTAATTCGCCTCTCCAGTATAAAATTTGATCCCTCAGGAGTTCAAATTAACATGACAGATCCTATTAAAACCAGCATCCGTACGGGAATATATCCATCCTTTACATTTCAATACTTCACCGAGGACCCAGCTCTGTGCGTGGGCGAAGACTTCTTGTTTCTTTCTACTCGGAAACCCCACGGACGTGCCTCGTCTACCACTATCGCAAGATGG